AAATGTAAGACAAGTCACGTGTGGATAACAAAAAAGTTTAATTTAGACTCAAATTAATAATCTAATCTAATATATATAAAAATAAAGTAGGCATTTTTGGAGAGCATTCGGAGCGCCACATAAGAAATATACTTATTTCGACCAATAAGAAGAAAAATTTATATTTTATTTTTGATTTAAAAAATTATGTCGCCACCTAGATAAAAGTAACGAATTACATTTGATATATCTAAAATTTTAATGTCACGTAGATTATAATCCATGAATTAAATTATATTAATGAAAAAAATAAAGTAAAAATATAGGAAAAGATAAATTTATTAATTCAATACTACGAGTATAAAAAATCCAAAAAAAATATACTAAAAAATATTTAAATGATAAACGCTTATAATAAAGTTTGATACCTATCATTATAAGATAAATTTTGATAGTATTTATGATAAGAAATACAAATTGTTCGTTAATTATAATTAAATTAAAATTTGTGACACCTACCATTATAAATTGATACATCATACGACACAAACAAAATTTTGTATCAATAAAAAACCCCATCAAGCGAATTTTGTGTTAATTTTTGGTCATCTATGGCCGGGTAATTTTTAGCTTAATTTTTAAAATCCTATGTTTAAATTAGTATTTCTAATTACTACTTACATTGTATTAATTTGGGATACTCAACGATTATATGTTTATGTTTTATTTACTAAATGTTTTTTTCTATGCAGATCTAACACATCATATCATTACAAAACCCCATCAACTGAATTTTGTGTTAGCTTTAGGTCATCAATGTTCGGGTAATTTTTAAAATCTTATGTTTAAATTTATGTTTGTAATTATTAGTTACATTGTATTTGTTTAGGATACTTAACGATTATTTGTTTATGTAATGACATACGATTAAATGTTGTATACTTAATATATAGATGACTTTGGTTATTTTTGGAGATGATGAAAAAATTCCAATGCATAGATTTGATTTTATATCGCAACAATTTTTCATTTATTGGTAAATATATTGATTTATTTTATATAAATGTAAAGACTTAATTTATATCAATTTCAGTTTGGCTAACATATCACGGTTCACTTTATCCATTGATGTAGTAGGTTGGTTATGGACGAGGTTGGTGATTCTATCGAAATAAAAGATATGGTAAAACAATGAATAATGATTTAGGATTTAAATTATTAAAAATTTATCATTTCACATTAAAGATTTTATATAACGTAAAAAATATCATATTTAAAATTTATTTATAGTTAATAAATTCATTATAAATTATAGTAAAAATAAGTAAATATTAAACTTTTGTAATTTTGTCTGAAATTATTAAATACAATAAATCAAATAATTAAAAATCTTAAATGAAAAAACCATACATCGCATGGGCTTCCATCTAGTCAATCAATAACTTAATACTAAAAGCAAAACCAGTGATGACACATGTCATCCACTGGTTGAAAATTTTCCCTCTAATTTTTTTTTTGTGTCAATACTTTATGAAAGATATCTAAATCCTTTAATATTCTCCTTCCATTTTGGCGATTATATATATTTTTTTATACACACTCAAATGGAATATTTTATATGTATATTAAAAATGAGCATAAATGTTACTCCGTATAAAAACAACATAAATAAATAGTATATTAAAATAATAATAATAATATTATTATTATTATTATTATTATTATCATTATTGTTATTATTATTATTATTATCACCTTACTTCTAAATTATAATTAAAACCTACGTACTACTCACTCATATATAAAAATTTGATTCTATATATAGTAGAAAAATAAAATAAAAGTTTATTAAATTTGCATAAACCAATGTGTGGTGTATGTCAAATTCTGTCAGCAAGATAGGGACATGATAGTGTATATAGCATGGGTTCTAAATAATCAATACTCACTTATTTTCTTTCACATTTATAAAGTCTAACGCACCACTAGCCTTTACATCATTGTCAAATACAGATAATTAAAAAAATTAATTTATTTTATTTAAATATGATTTTTTTTTTAGTATATAATTGCTAAATTAATGTTGTACTTCACTATATAATTTAGTAAAACTCGTGCATTGTACGGGACTTTAACTAGTAATCATATATTCATACACTAAAACAATAATGATTACCCTCCAATTGATTAGAAGTATTTGTAATAAACTAGGCAAAAGAGATCAAACCTGTAGTGCATCTCCAATGTTAACAATCAACGCACCCTTTACAGGCTCGACATTAACCCATTGGTTTTCATGAAGAACTTGGAGGCCTCCGATTAGATCTTGCAAAAGTGTTGTAATAAAGGAGGCATCGGCGTGTTTGCTAGTTCCTAATGAAAGATCTGGCTCCGGACACTCCGGCTAGTAGTGGCAAACTAAGTTCCAAGCTTTTGTACTTTCCAATTCTTGTAAACAGTCTGGTTTTAATCCAAGACCCATTGATAACAACATGAGTATAAGATCACCTAACTTAATGACATGGTTGATATAATCCAGTATCACATCCCTGCAAAAGCTACCTTTTAGCAACATACTTCAAGAGTTGAAACTACAATGTGAGTAGAAGAATGAGCTAATTACAAACATATAAAAATAGCTCATTAGTCTCTAGTACTGATAAAATTGTGTAAATATAAATCCGAATCAAATTCTAAGAATTTATTATTATGAGGATAAAACTAATAAAAAAAAATGAAAATAAAGAGTGTGAATTGAATGAATGTCAACTAAATAGGTTTATTGTAATTGAAAAAGGACTTGTAATTAGATTTGTTATTGAATCTCGTTTATATCATTGTCTATCTATATGACTCTGTTTTTAAGTCAAACCGCTAATAAAAATCAAGAGATTTTAAACAAAGGTGATTACTCCTTAAAATGACCAATACATCCAATTGTTCCAAAATCATGTATAGTACGATCAAATTCAAGCTCTACTTTTTCCGGGATTACTTTTAATTATCTCAAAATTAAAGATCAAATGGCAAGATAACAATTAATAAATAAATAAAAAACTTGCATATAGGAGGTAACTCTTGAGCATCAACTTCACCGGTAAAAGTAGTGTTAACTGACAAACTATCCCTCCAATTTGCCGCATTCGATTTATAAAAATCATAATTAGAATTAAAGGTGACAACCTTTGATTTATCGCTACTATAAAACTTCTTCTTATGCTCATCATCTTGCTCATGAAATATTCGAGCACCTTCAATCATCTTATCCAACGCTTCCAAGGGAATCTGTATGATTTACAACTCGAAAAAATCCCCATTTTTCTGATGCCGAAACAATTTCTTTCGCAATCTCTGTTGTTCTATCATTACTTTCATGATCAACTAAGCTAAATCTATAATCGGAACACTTATATCTTTATGACATGTACCTAAATCTTTTGAACGATCTTCATGTGGTCGTACAAATATGCTAGGAATTTCCTTTGTTCCTTCCTCAACTAGCCCCTTAACACCTGTTTTTCGAGCATCGAACACCTTAAGATCCTTCGTTCGATCATAACTTTCAGGTTGGGTTCCAATGAGGGTATCTTGGCTGTCCATTATTTTCACCTGTTTAAAATGGAGTTTATTGTTTCAAAATGATTGTGAGTTGGTTCAAACTGCAAAGGTTTCTAGAAAGCCTAGAAATTGAGTTCATTGACTTTATTTGTTAAAGAAACCTCCACCCAAAATAAAATAATTAAAAAATTCATTTATGAAAATTCCCCAACAACTCTTAAAGACTCTTTAAAGTTATTTTAATGATAAATTTCCATATTTTAATGCGTGACACATATGTTAGATTCAATTATAAAATACTCCACTTGTTCCCAAATACTACAGGAAAATACAAGTTCATCTTTATGATAAACAAATGTGTTTATCATGAGGGTATAATTGTCAATTTGTATACTTAAATCTGGACAGCCTTGTAATTTCAACAATAAAAAAAGTTAACAGCGTTAACTTTGTGAAGAATGTCGTTAATGAAGGAAAACCTTCAATAGAAATTTCAGAAGCTTCAATGGAAAAAGTGGAACTCAAAATTAGCTTCAATGGAGGAGGATAACACCCTTACCCTTAGGGGTTCACCATGCCCTTAATTTCACCCTTTTTTCATAAGGTTTTTGTCTTATTTGGCGGCGAAGCCACCAGAGATGGTGGTGTTGGTGTAAGGGATGGAGATCGCGAAAGGAAGAAGAAGATGGAGGTAGAAGGAGAAGTCAGTTTCAATGGAGGAAGCAAGAGGTTGAAGGAAGAAGAAGGAGAATGAAGGATGAAGTTGGGTAACGTCGTTAATTTTACAAGTTGAAAAATTGACAGCTGGAATCAACTCAGTCGAAGAAAGTATTATTTAAATCAATTTATACAATTTCCAAGACAAGATAACATCCCATGTTTATCATAAAGATAAATTGGGGCTCCACAAATACTACCAACACGTATTTGTATGCTCGAGCTTTATTTTTATTACTTCCTCTGTTTTTTTAGTTGCATCACTTTTTTAAAAGAAGTTTTAAATTAGTTGTATCATTTTCATTTTTCACTAATAAATTATCTGTATCTCTTTCATACCACATGGGCCCCATTTATTTTTTCTGTCTTCCTCTCTCTACTCCAAAAATTGCTCATAAATCCGTGAAAATAAAAGTGATCCAACTAAAAAAACGGAGAGATATTTAAAAATTGAACTTATTAGTACATGCATGAAAATGACTAAATTATAGTGTGCACGCAGATGAAGTTAAGTATTTGTGGGATAAAAACAATAAAAATTTAATGCATGTAAGGTTAGTGAAAGAGATAAACAACTACGAGTAAAACAATAGCTAGAGTAATGATATAAGTAGTTTTGGGGCTATATATAAGTTGGAATATACTTCCTAAATGGAATTCAGTTAGGAATTCATGACAAAATCACGCGTATATCGGTATAATTAATGTTAATTTATCCTTAATATTCCTTTTTTAGCTCTTATACATAGCCGTATCATTTTCCTTATATTATGTCAAAATGATATTGCAATTGTTTTGGAAACGAAACAGCTGAGCTTTTAAGAACATAGTGAGTATGCAGTGCTTACACTCATATGTAATTGGTATAAACTAGAATGGAATCAAGAATAAGGGACAGCAGATTAGTGAACGCAAATTATACAATAACCACCTTAGAATCGAGACATGAAACAATGACATGAAAATCATACAGCACGCAGCCAGATTTTGATGATCGGAAAATGAACATGACTTTGTCAAGGATGTTGATTAGATTGTAGTGTTACTACTCTCCAACTTTATGATTATGTAGCTTGAAGTATTCGAATCCTGGTTCATCAAGGGGCCGAGAGAAGAAATATATCAGAAATTCACTGAGGGTGAACTGTCTATAAACAGCTGAATTTTCATCAGACAGCAGCTCTTGAATTGGCCCATACAACTTTTGTGATGAACGAAGGCCTTGTAGAAAAAATGCTACTGAAATTCTAGGTCCGATACGATTAGCAGATACGCGATGGTACACACTCTTGAACTTGTCGTTGGAGATCATCTGCATAGTAAAAACAGATTAAAAAACAGTAAATCAGACATTAGTACTTAGCTGATCTGACAAGAACCAAAGACAGGATGACAGATTGAACAAAATTAATAAGAAACCTGAAGAATATCTCCAATGTTTACGACAAGGGCACCAGGTTTAGGCTGAACGTCCACCCATTGATTTTCATGGAGAATTTGGAGACCGCCAATTTGATCTTGTAGAAGTATAGTGAGAAATGAGGAATCAGAGTGTTTGCTTATCCCTTGAGTCAATTCTGGAGCAGGGCAAGCAGGGTAGTAGAGGTTTACGGCGGTCCATCCTTTGTTACATTCCATATCTTTCAGATGATTTGGTTCGAGTCCAATAGCAATAGATAATAACTCTAGAAGAAGATCACTTAGCTTAAGTACTTGGTTGTAGTAGTCTAACAACACATCCCTGCAAATTATCAAATGGACACTCTAATTTGGCAATAATCATACCATACACTAAAATTAGACTAGAAAAATATAGGATTTTGAACATATTCAAAAATGGAAAAAGTAATTATATACTTCTTAACACAATTTATCATTGTACCAAACTGAATTAGCCTGACTCGAAACCAACCTGACCAACTGATATGATAGGCTTATCTTCGGGTTATTAATTTAGGAGTAATAGCGAAAGATTGCTTTACATTGTAATGATCATATTCTAATGTATATTGTACTACCTCCATTTCATGTTTTTTGCAACTTTGGAATATTTTATAATCTCACAAATAATACCCTAAAGTTGCAAAAAATATGAAATGGAGGTAGTATATGTACAAAAATGGCAGTGATGAACAAAAGTACCTGCATATTTCTGGTAACTCTTTGGGATCAAGATGACCAGAATGTTTTGATGTGTCAACTGTCAAAGTATCCCTCCAATTCGCAGTCCTTGAAGTATATAGGTCGTAATTGGATTGATACAATAGTTGTTTGTTCCTGTCACGGGTGTACATTTTCTTCTTTACCTCGGCATCTTGTTCATGAAACAACCGAACCCCTTGTACCATCTTATTTAGCAAATCCAAAGGGATTCCGTGATTTATCACTTGAAAAAATCCCCATTTTTCTGATGCATTAAGGACTTCTTTGACAATCTCAGCATACCGATCTTTGTTATGAATTTCTTCTAAATTTATCACCGGTACTTGGAGTTTCACACACGGAATATTCAATTCTTCTAAGAGCTCGTGAGTTGGTCGAATGAATATCTTAGGAAGGGTTTTTACACCTGAATCTACTAGTCCCTTCACCCCTGTCTTTGTATCATCGAAAGCCTTCACCTCTTTAGCGCAATCATAGTCGAATTGGGAGCCATTGGTGTATCCGTCCATGCTAAATGTCCTCAAATTCAGCTATAGACTAGAACAATGACTTAGCACCACTAAATTCAGTACCCGAGCCCCTAGTGATTAATGTTAAGGATACAACATGATTCGATAAATGGCCCTTAAAGAACGATTGTGAGTCGATAACATATTTACAAGGTCTAGTTATAAAAAATCATTTGAGTTACTCAGGACTTTTTCCGAATATTCTAAAATAATAATGATCTGCATACGAGTATGTGATTTATTAATTTGGGGCCGAAAGAGTAATATGCCGCATGTGCAGCCAAAGCTAACAGATAAACATTGAAGATATTTAATTAATGACGGAGCAAACAAGACCATATAGCTAATTGAAAATGACGCATCGAATTCCTGTGGCTCACCTTGAGTTGAACCTCGATAAGAAAATAAATAACAAGTGTTGATATAGAAATAAAATATTACTCGTACAATCTATGAAAGTTGTCATTTTATGCACCTACTAGAATAAAATCTCAATTATATTTGATAAGGGTTAAGGAAGGGGTTGTTAAACGACGCCCTCATTTTATCAGGTAATGCCCGCATTTAAATATGAATGGACCGAACACACCCTCGTCTGTATTCCACGTTTTTCTTCCCTCTAACTCAATGAAACATTCTCTCATCCCAACAAACCACCACCAACCACCACTGATCGAGGGCGAGGTCATCGCTGAAAATTTATGCCGTGTTTTTTTGGGTGTAGGCTAAACGCCTAGTTTTTTTTAAAAAACCAAGGAGAAAACGCCTAGAATTTTTGAAATTCCTTGGGAGAAACTAAAATTCTAGGCGTTTGTCCCCATGGAGTTTCGAAAATTTAAGGCGTTTATTTTGCAGTTTTTGCGGTTTTTATTTTTATCATAACTTTTGATCCCGAACTTGAATTAAGACAAATAATATACCGTTGAAAATTTCTATATGTCTACTTTCCAACCCATTTAAAATCAGGTCAATATCATTTTTAGATATTAAAATATGACCAAAATAGGGCAAGGGTATCGGTTTTCGATCGAGTTTAGTATTTTAGCCATATCCTAAAGTCTAGAAATGATTTTAACTTGATTCTAATTTGGTTAGAAAGTAGAAACCCAGAGCTTTCAAACTATATATTATTTGTCTTAATTCGAATTCGGGATAAAAAGTTATGATAAAAAACAAAAAAGGCAAAAAAAAATTAGGAAAAAACATCTAAAATTTTCAAAACTCCACGGGGAGAAACGCCTAGAATTTTAGTTTCTCCCTAGGAATTTCGAAAATTCTAAGCATTTTCTCTTAGGATTTTTGAAAATATTAGGCGTTTGGCCTCCACCAAAAAAGAGAAAAAAAAACCGACTTAAACTTCTGGCCTCAGTCAGTGATGGTTGGTTAGGATGAGAGAATGTTAAAATATTGAGTTAGAGGGAAAAAAATGTGGTATATATGCGAGGGTATGTTCGTCCATTCATGTTTAAATGCGGACATTACCCAATAAAATGAGGGTGTCATTTACCTTTCCACTTAAGGAACTAATGCAAGTAATGACAAGAAGTAAATAATTGAGTTTAACCTTCTAGAAATTAATAATAATGCAAAGTGCACTACAACCACTAAAATTTAAAGAAGCTCCAACCAATTATTAAGTAAAGGCATCCTGTGACAAGACATGATTAAAAATTACTAATCCTGTTTGATAGATTGTTACTGGTTTTTTTTTTCAGCGAATTATTAGGGTTTAGATGTCAGTTATATGTATTATTATCATGTATTTTTCTCGATCTGTTTCTTAATAATTGCTATGAATTAATTTTTACATTTGTTGATGCAAAATTTTAACCATTAATGACGTTAATATCAATAACTTAAGTAAAAGTTGAGATTGACTAAGTTATAAAATAGTTAGTAGATTCGGTTATAGGTTGTTAGATATTAAAATGTAAAAATGACTCGCATAATCCTTTATTTTTTCTATTGAAAAAGCTTGCCCTAAGCAGCTCATGTCTAGATTTTCAATTTGTCTTGAAAGCCTACTTTGCAAGCAATTTAGTCCTTTGCCCCAAAACAAGAAAGCATGTTACAAACGGTAACCTATACATAAGTAATAACATAATTTGGAATAGCAAGACATCAACAACGAACCACCAAGAAAGAGCACACAATTGGATCCCAGAACAATGCCCCTACTCCACCATCTCAAATCATCAACCTTGGATTTTTTTTCTACCTGCCAACTCCATGATTTTGTATTTTCAAATACTCAAATCCAGCATCATCAAGGGGTCGTGAGTAGAAATGTGCATAAAATGCATCGAGAGTGAACTCTCTATAAATAGCTGGATTTTTTTCCGACAACAACTCTTTAATCGGTCCATACAACTTTGAGGATGATGAAACACCTTTAAGAAAGAATGCTGACGAAATTCTTGGTCCAACTTGATTAGCAATCACTCTATGATAAACACTTTTAAGTTTGTCATTGGAAATAATCTGCATCATAATAAAAGTTATCAAGAAAAAAAATATTCAATGTTGCATCCAATTTCTAGATAACATGTAACATTTCTATTTTAGACCGGCCTAAAAATAAGGGCTACTTTCATCATTTAGTAGCTAAATTGCATTTGTTTTCCTTTATATGCGCTTACTAGTACGTGAATTAAATGTAGCCAATTATTTACGAACAAGAGTATAAATGAGTTTGATATAATTAAAGTACCTGAAAGATATCACCGATATTTATAACAAGGGCTCCCGGTATTGGCTGAACGTCGACCCATTGATTTTTGTGAAGGACTTGGAGCCCACCAATTTGGTCTTGCAATAGTACAGTGAGGAATGCAGGATCAGTGTGTTTGCTTGTTCCTAAGGTCAATTCTGGAGCAGGACAAGCAGGGTAGTAGTGGTTTACTGAAGCCCATTGCTTGTTACATTCGATTTCTTTCAAATAATCTGGTTCGAGTCCAAGACCCATAGATAATAACTCTAATAGAACATCACTTAGCTTCAGTACTTGGTTAAAATAGTCCAACATCGTATCCCTACAAATCAACAAATGGACACATTGATTTCAAAAATAATCACAGAATAAAACAACTGTTACGTCTGTAGTAGTTCAAATTAAACAATCAACTTGATTGTTCATTCTGCATAAAAAGTATCTACACGAACACTTACATAATCACATAATGATATAATTGTCACATTATAAATTAGTTAAAATTAAACTATTAACGTGGCTACTAATTTCAGACGATGTACATACCTGCATATTTCAGGTAACTCATTGGGATCGGGATGATCAAAATTATAAGTGTCAACTACGAAAGTATCCCTCCAATTCGCAGCCCGAGAATTATAAAGATCATAATTAGACATATACTTAACTTGTTTTGTCATGTCACGGCTATAAAAATTCTTCTTTACCTCAGCATCCTGCTCAAAAAAACTCCGGATCCCCTGCAGCATATTATCCAACACCTTCGAAGAAATTCCATGATTTATAACTTGAAAGAATCCCCAATTTTCTGCTGCATCAATGACTTGCTCGACGACCTCATTGTAACGATCTTTACAATCAATTCCTTCAAAATTTATCACCGGAACCTCAAGCTTAACACAAGGAGTGCTAAGCTCTTGTACGAGCTCCTCAGGCGGTCGAATGAATATCTTAGGAATCGCTTTTGTACCTAAATCAACCAGCCCTTTCACCCCTGCCTTCGTAGCATCAAAGGCTTCCAACTCTTTTACGCGATCATAGTCGAGTTGGGAGCCGTTGGTGCATACGTCCATGCCAAATTTTACTCTGCACCTTTCAAAGATAAACTAGTATGAGTAGAATATAGAATGAGAACGAATTATTATTTGTATGGGTAATATTACCTGATACGTAGTACGAGTATACTTTATTACGCAAAATGGGTATGGGTACACAATTTAATTTGCTACCTAGTTTTGCAAAAGTCGATAGTGCACCAATTTACATGTTCATTAGACAAATTCACATATATAATCATCGACAAGGGACGACAACATGATAGTTTTCCTGGCTGACCAATTTTGGCAATAATTGAAATGTTATCTTCTACTATAGAAAAAATAAAATAAAATAAATAAAATAAAAATAAAAAATAAAAAAATTTGGAGCTAATATTTGTGAAAGATAAAGTGTTTTGAGAACCTAGAATAGATATGTGGAGATCTATGTACCACGTATTAAGGATTTTAACCATGGAAGATTTGAAATCTTTAATAACACGCAACAAACAGGATTACATATTTATATCTTTATAAACTAACAAACAATAATGATGTGTGGGTAGGATAATCTTGAATCTCACACAAAACTCTCCAAAAATTTATCTACATCTAAAGATGGCATTAGGCCGGGTCGGATCGAAGCACGGCATGACACGGGCACGAAAAAAGCACGACACGGCACTGTACTGTGTGTGTGGGTCGTGGGTCAGGCCTAGGCCACCTTTATTTGGGAGAAGCACGATATGGTACGGCATGGTCGGGCCCGGCACGACAAAGCATGCATTAAAGTAATGCAGTTTTTCTTAGGCACGCAAGCCCGACACAGCTCGACACGATGGCATGTGGGCCTGGGCCATGCACGGGCCAACCTTTTAAAAACTTAACCCCGGCACGACACGAAACTCGTGAGCCGAGTCATGGGCGGGCCGAACCTAACTAACCCCAAAGCACGTGAGTCTGGCACAAGGCACGACCCGGCATGGCCCAGAGCCATCTTTATCTACACCTTCGGAGTTCGGTATAAAAGCGGATTAGGAATTTAAAAATGGGATATACTGTAATTCTTTAGCTAGTGATAACATAAGTAGTTGGTTATAAGCTTGGTAATTTAGTTCGTCCTTCCTTTTAATTACAACATGGAGAGAGGATGCACATTTTAACGGTAGAGAAAAGGGATTCATGAGTTGAGGACAAAGATAAAGTAACCCTGTTTTTTAGTGCTGCTCTGCTCTGTTGAAATTTAATTTGCTCAGTTGAACCCTGTTTTGCTCTGCTAAAATCTGCTCTGCTATGTCCAGAAGCTCAAAAAAACAGGACTTTAACACTGTCTAAAAATATTAAACACTAGCCTTAAAAGTTTCTACAGTTATTCTACATCTTTCTTCTCAAGAAAGATTTTTAAAAAGCTCAGATTTGGACAAATTTTCTTAGGTTGGGCTGACCTCAATATTTGCATTTTTATCCAAGCTTTGGACAAGCGTTTTAGGCCCTAACAATGACTTTTAAGCTTTGGGCCCAAAAATCCCAGGTTGGCCGAACCATAGGCCTTAAAATGGGCCTCTCTTATACCTAATGCCCGAGCTGCCCCAGTAATTTGACAACTATCTGTTTGTTTCTTACTATTCTTCATCCCCCAAATTGTTTTTTTTTTTGACGAGTTCCTCCCATTTGTTTCCGCATTGTATTTTTGTGAGTCAAAACTTAAGAACTTTTAACATAAATTATCCTAGATCAATAATGTTGATTCCGTTTCAATGTTGACTTTTGGAATATTATTTGCATAAATAAAATTAGATCGAAATATTTACGTTTTAATACGTGTCTTGAAAATCATAAAATTTTCAATAAGGCAAACAAAAGGAAAAGAGGAAGCACTTCTTGTCAACCTTTATGGCTGTTGTAATAACATAATATGCTCCCTTTATTATGACTTTAGAAATAAAAAAAAATAAGAAAAAAAAGGGCCCATCACAATACTAAACTATTAATTTATCGCAACCATTTGTACTGCCCTCAACTAACAACTTTTATTTATTAAAATTATTGTATATAAATTATACAACCTTAATTTGAGCACTACTAATAAAAATAAATAAATAAAAAAATAAAATAAAAAACTCCTAAAGACTAGGAGAGAAACTGTACTTTATTGCCATGCACATAACACACATTAAACACATATATGGAACATAAAGGTATATGATGCACAAAAGTCTATTATTCATTCTTATTTTGACCTAAGCAATTAGGATGAGTGACTGTATCTCTGTCCATTAGAAATATGAGATATTCGAAATGTAGGATAATATCTTATATCTCTAACTACGTTACATCCGACTCATCGTGAAGTATTCCTCTATTCAACCTAGGAAGGCCAATTATTTTTTACTTGTTACTAACATAAGTACTTAAGTAGCATATATCAAAGTAGGGAAAGGCTTATTATTAGCATTCTATAAGAAAATACACGAAATTGATCATTTCTTGAAAAAGTCAAGGGCAGGGCTTCCATCTTGACCTTTGTTGAAGTAATGGCCAAGGTACTCCTGAATTGTGATCTCCCGGTAAATTGGTGGATTTTCTTCGGACAGTAACTCTTTAATTGGACCGTAAATCCTTGTGTTCGAAGGATCTGGCTTGAAAAATGCTGCCACTGAAACCCTTGGACCCACTGTTTTTGCCTTCACTCTATGGTACACACTCTTGATCTTGTCATTCGTAATCAACTACATATAGATAAGTAAGATAACATCAATAAATAATACATTTGCCCTAAACTTTCCTTTGATATATATTTTCTATCCTTCATTTCAACACTCAAGAATATTACTTTAAAACTTTAAATTCCTTTAAACAATTAATTCTACCAAATAATGTAGTTCATTTAGTCGGTTCAACATACATTTTTATCACTTTCAAGTACAACCCTTTTTCTTTCTTTTTTTTTTTTTTTTTTTTTTTTTTTTTTTTTTTTTTTTTTTTTACGTAGTTTACTTTTATCAGGTTCAACTCCTTAAGCTAGTACTGTGATGTATCTTTATCATTGTAAAATTTTGTCAAAGTGCAAGTTACCTGAAGAAGATCTCCCGTATTGATGACAAGTGCACCAGGAACATGAGGAACATCAACTAGTTGATCTTGGTGCCAAACTTGAAGACCACCAACTTGGTCTTGTATGAGGATGGTTAGCACATCATTATCAGCATGTTTGCCAAACCCAATGGCTACATCAGGCTCAGGGCACGGTGGGTAGTAGTGTCCTAACAACATCACGTGTTGGGCACAATCCATGTCTTTCAAGTGATTAGGGTTTAGCCCTAGCGCCCTCGAGATTAGTTCAAACAAAGTATGGGACAACTTTGTCACTTGCTTACTATACTCCAATACTATGTCCCTGTAACACAAGTACATTATAACATTAATACGTGTCATTTTGTAACATCACGTCTTATTCTAAAAGACAATGTTACAATGATTTATATTCAAAGTTGATTGACGAGTATTATAATTAATTATTAGGAAGGTATTTGTATAAAACTAATTAGGTACGTCGATAGCATATATTATACCTGCACACAAGAGGCAGTTCCTCGGGTTTAGGAGGTTCAGGGGCTGTAACGAATGTTATTGTATCCCTCCAATTGGTCACGGGTCCAGTGTACAAGTAATAGTTAGAAAAATAAACACATTTTTTACCAGCATATTCACGAGTGTAGTATTGTTTCTTGACCTCAGGGTCTTCCTCATGGAACCTACGTACGCTATCAACAACACCATCGACGACATCTTGAGGGATACCGTGGTTAACCACTTGGAAAAAACCCCAATTCACACAAGCATTCTCGATTTCTTTGATCACCTCCTTAAGCTTTTCAGGATCGTTTTCAATCCCTTCGAGGTTGATCGTGGGAATGGTGAAATCGGAGTTGTTGGGCTCAATATCAGAGCGATTGTGGTTTAGGTTATTAACGAACATACGAGGGACCTTAGACAAACCCGAGTCAATGAGTCCCTTAACACCTAATCTAGCCTCATCAAAGGATTTTAGCTCACTCTTTCGGTCGTATTGGTCTTTCATTGTTGCGGTTGTGGCTTGTGTTAGGCTCATTATTTTTTTCTTGGTTTTTTTGGTTTTTCTTGATAGTTTTTTGGTGGTAGTTTTCTATGTATTTTTTGCCACAAACTAGGAAATATGAGCAAGTGTAATGAGGTAAGTCTTTCTTGTGCCTCCTCATTTTATAGCAAGCTAAGTGTAGACTTCAGAATAATATTATTCAATGGTCTTCCTCGTAGACTAATATATATTGCATACTTATAAAGATTAGTCACTAACATTAATGTGATTATTGACTTGGGAATACTCTAATTTACCTCCTTAACTAATTCAAAATTCTTAATTATTAGTGAAATATTTATATGGCCAAGGTTTATGAAATCAAATAAAGAAACAAATTTGTGATAGATAGAGTATCGAATTGCAAGGACTTGTTTGACATCGTTTTTTTCCTTTTCTTTTAAACAATAAACTAAAACAGGAAACAAGAAAAAGTATTTCCACTTTTTTGTTGTCATTTTTAAAATTATTATAATTTTAATAAATTTGGCTAATTTTTAATTTATTATAGTATAACATGTCATAACTTTACCAAGCGAACCCTTGGTGTTAGTTTTAATATTCAACATGCATGATAGTGTCTGACTTTACATGCATGAAAAGTGACAATGCATATTCGAACCTAATTTTCAAGAATTTAAGCTACTAAATTAGTTAACATTATGACATCCACACGGAATATTGAAATACTACTTACGGAGTAATTAACAACTACTTACATCCATATAAATGGAGGCCAGCTTAGCAATATAAGTTTCTCCCTAAAATTAATAGCAGAGGCGGCAAATAAATGTAGACCTGGTGTTAATAATTGACCACTGACAAAATACTGTACAGTAATAAGGTTATGTTCCTATTTGGTTCTTTGTTTGTTATGTTTCATTGTTTTAGGGAGGGGAATAGAGTGGCAGACAAGCTTGCTAATTTGGGTGTTATTCTTTAAGAGAAGGTGGTTTATTTCGATAATTCTCCAATTGAAATAAAGAACTTTCTTTGGGAGGATATGGTGGGTGTGGCCTTGCCACGTTTGGTTGTGTAATTTTATTAGTTTTGTTTGGGTTCATACCCTCTTTTGCATCAAAAAAAAAAAAATATTAGGGTAATGTTCCTTGTCAAAAAAAAAATATATAAAAAAATAAAAAAGAGGTTTTGTTCAGTTTAGTTATAAGCAAATAACTATTTATTTTAGAAATATATTAATTAGATCATCAAATTAAAGCATGCAGTTCTTATTTTTTAATATTTGTATTTACTTATCAGAGTAATCACTACACATTTTTGGCTATGTAACTTACAAAAATAGGAATTATTTCTTTTTTTTTTTCTATGTTTGGAATGTATACATTAATACAAAACTAACGATTTGTCTTAGAATATTTTTTTTCATAAGAATTGGTACACAAATAATGCCAAAGTTTAGTTAATTAAAATTAAATAATCAGATCAACCCAATCAAATCATCATATCAAATGAATAGAATATAGCTAGCCTAATAAGTTTTACTTCATATCCTATCGATCACCCAAATAAATGGTATATCATTGTTATATACAAATTCAATAGTTACTTACCATTTAGAATATACTCATATGACAATCATTAATACTCTTTTATAAAAAAAATGAGTATATAGATTGTATCTCTCAACCTTAAATTTGTGAATCATTCCTTTACCCTTCACCCTGGCCACTTTTAAGGGATCTTGCTCACTAATCCAAATCGGATTGACCTGTATGACTATGGAGTGTGATAGATATTATAGTAAGATAATATTTTGTTGCAGATTCAGAATATATTTTGTATACTTATCGTACTAAGTTTCCTAACAGAATGAGGACTAGTCTTATAAACCATTATATATATTGATCAATGGTACACACTCCAATTTGAGGAGTTTTCCCAAAATCTAACATTTTCCTTATATTGTATTTCGTAGAAGGTAGAGGGTGAGAATGTGAACAGTTTAATGCGATGAATAATCATCTTCATGTCTATGTACTTAAACTCTGAAATTTAGGGGATGAACTTCATTTTAAGATTTCAGTCAATGTTGATTGGCTACCTTCTTAGCTAGTCCGCCGAAAGTAATGAAATTAAAATCATTTTTACTGTATTGAATTTCAAGCAATTATGTAATTAAATTCTAGAAATTTCAATTTTCAATCTTGATAAGAAAAATATATATTAACGGTAAAAGGCAGCAGCTCTCCAAATTCTTCTATCTTCTAGAGATATTTTTATACTATTGACTATTATGGCCGAAAATAGTTCAATTTCCAACAATTTTGTTTAAGTGTTAGGGCTATATATTTCATTTCAATGTGTTATATATATATATATATACCTTCTCAGCTAGTCCAGCCGAAAGTATTGAAATTAAAATCATTTTACTGTATTGAATTTCAAGCAAATATGTAATTAAATTCTAGAAATTTCAATTTTCAATCTTGATAAGAAAAATTATATATTAACGGTAAAAGGCAGCAGCTCTCCAAATTCTTCTATCTTCTTAAGATATTTTTATATTATTGACTATTTTGGCCAAAAATAGTTCAATTTCCAACAATTTTGTTTAAGTGTTGTTATAAACGAAACTACAGAAAAACGAAGAACAAGAATAATGTTACCGGGAATTAGACTGAGTCACGGACTCTGTCGCTCTCTTTAGAACATTCACGGTACTGCCCTTAGAATGTGCAAGCAGATCGTACACCACCGGATGTCCCCCGGGGTAAAACAGTCTCTCGAATTTAATATACCGATGGATTTGCACAAAGCCACCGGGCGAACAAAACACCAAAAAATATTAGGAACTGCTTGAACTGATTATTTTTTTTTTTTTGAGAAGAGAGGAGATTATTTTTCAGTATATGAATTGCTTAACACGGTCTGTTTTATAGCTGAGGGCAGAAAGCCGTTTTTAAAGACCATTGATTGCACAACGGCATATAAGCACGAATTACGCCCAAAACGGGTAGAAAATCAATTTTTTTCAAAACAGTCAAAAACTAATAAACACAAATAATGGGATTTAAAACGGTTAGCATAAATCAAGGCACTAATTATGTAATTAAAAAGTTAATTCTGTTTTAATCATCCAACCAACCCAACCCAACCCGGCCCGACTCGGCGCACGCGTGTGTTAGGTTGGTTCGGTAGGGTAACTCGACATTTTGAACCCTATCTCTGACAACGTACCACACACGACCTACTCTTGGTGTTGTCATATACCCGTGCTATTACGGCCATGCACGTCTATCCCAATATAGTGAACGCTTTAGAAATGCTGCCACACATTTCATAGGAAGCGGCCTAACTTCCATATTCACATAGGTGAATATATCAAGAGTACTCCTGTAGCTAGATACTCCACTCCAAATGGAGTATAGATTTCATTAAGAGTTCCTGCTAACTCATCCTTGACCGCTTCAGGAATTTATGTCTTTTGAATGTTGATAATTTAGAGTGTCGGAGGAGCGCTCGCGCTTCTGAATCGCGCTCGCGCCAGTTAGGCGCGACCCGCGACAAAATCGCGCATAAACCGCTATGAGTTTATGAAAATTCTGGAAAAGTTTGGAGGTGCGCCCGCGCCATGGCATGGCGCGGCCCGCGCCTAAATCGCGTCAAATTTCTGGAAAATCAGAAAGTTGAGATTTTAGAAGAGGAGCGCCCGCTCCACATTGAGGAGCGCCCGCTCCTCCTTGTGGAGCGCCCGCGCCTCTTCGCACGCGCCCGCGCTTCTTGCTGTTTTGCGGTTTTATACGACGGTTGATCCTATTATATAGGATGATGTTGTTTCGAAAGAAAGACAGAACTTTTCTCTGTAATTCTCCCTAAGTAAATTTCTCCATTTTTCTCTCTAAAAACTTGCAATCTTTTGTGAGAAATCTTCTTGATTTTAGTCTTTCTTGTGAATTATTTTATCATCAATTTGTTCTTAGTGCAAAGATCAATTGGGCTGACTTTTGTATCTCAAAGAGTATTTCCGGATCAAATCCCAAGCACCATTGTGGGAGAAATTAAACTCTTTAGGTATGTATTCATACGCCTAAGTCAGTGTATCAAGGATTGAGACTTAAGTGGTCACCGATTTCTCATGTTCATGTTGGATGTAATAGCTTGGAGTAGAGGCAAGTAAAATATCTTTCACAACTAGTGTTTTCTTTGTGTTTTTCTGTATTACTTTGATAAATTGGTGTTTGGTTGTAATACATTGAATTGTATTTGGTTGTTTGTATAATTCATTATCAATTATACATAGTTAGGTTTTGTTCCCACAATTGTTAAAGTACTTTTTGTTATTGAATTACTTGTAAACCTAACAATCTAAAGATTTTTAAATTTAGAAGTAATCAAGCATGTCTAGTGTGAAAGATTTGACCACAAATTTTGTCAAACCCAAGAAGTTTGACGGTGTGGAGTTTCGGAGATGGAAGAAGAAGATGTACTTTCTTCTTACATCTTTGAAAGTAGCCTATGTTATTAGTACTCCAAGGCCTAGTGAACATGAGAAAGAATCCTTGGAAAATGTTCGGGAAATGTCAAAATGGGACAACGATGACTTTATTTGTCGTGGTCATATTTTGAATGGTATGGAAGATGATCTTTTTGATGTGTATCAAAATGTGGAGTCGGCTAAGGAGTTTTGGGAGTCCTTAGATGGCAAATATATGGCTGAAGATGCTTCAAGTAAGAAGTTTTTAGTAAGTAATTTTAATAATTTTAAGTTTGTTGATGGTCGGTCCATAATGGACCAATTTCATGAATTACAACGAATCTATGGGAACTTGAAACAACATGGTATTTCTATGGATGAATTGTTTGTTGTTTCAAGTATAATTGACAAGTTGCCTGCTAGTTGGAAAAGTGTTAAGCATGAGCTTAAACACAAGAAAGAGGACATGTCTTTGTCCGAGTTGGCCACCCATCTTCAAGTTGAAGAAGGGATAAGAGCCATGGAAAGTGCTAAGGATGGGAATCCTAGCTCATCTACCATTAATTTGGTAGAGGAAGGAAAAACTAGTGCTTCCACTAGTGGAAAGAGGAAGTATAATACCTCTTTCAAGGGAAAGTCCAAGAAGCAAGCAAACAATAACAAGTTTGCTTGTTGGGAATGCGGTAAAGTTGGTCACCGCGAGAAGGACTGCTTTTCTTTTAAGAAAAGGATGGAGAAAGCCAAGGAGGGACATGCTAGCACTAGCAAGGGCCAACCCACCAAAGGTAATCCAATTCATAAGGTTGAATTTAATTCCGGTTTGGATTTAAATGCAACGGATCCTAACATTTTTATGGTGCAGGATGATGACTCATGGTGGATGGATTCGGGGGCTTCAAGGCATGTATGCAAGATGAGGCATTGGTTCAAAACCTTTCACAAGGTTGGTGATGGAGAAGATCTCTTTATGGGAAACAATTCAACCATCAAGGT